ATATATTTATATATAATATTTTTATATACATAATTTATTTTAAATTTTAGTTATATATAATATAAAAATATATATATATATTTCATCCGTTTTTAACTTTCCAGGTGAAATATGAAAGAGAAAAACCAATTATTTTTTTATCTTATTCTACATTCCTGACTCAATGATGTTTAAATTTGATGTGTCTATTTACCATGTGTTTTTCCTGCAACAGGTACACCCACCCACTCTGAGGTACATACTCGAATGAAAGGGAAACACATTACTCCACCACAAAAATCCAAAGCAAAGAAGTCGATTATAATGAGGAATTAATCACGTGCCTACTTTCTTTTTTGACACCATGTCCCTACTCTACTTATTAACATACATCTAACTCCTGATTTGTAATATGGTCAAATATTATAAACTTAAATAACAAGAGGTCATTTTATTTAGTAAATAACAAACTACCTAGTAAATTGAAGACATGGATATAGAAACTTATAAACATATCTTGCAATGAATTCAAATGATTTATATATATATTAAAAATTATAAAATCAGGTGAAAGAGTCATTAAATAAAATGTGTCATCTGCCAATATTTATATTCTTTAATAAATTTCAACTAATAAAAAAATTTATTTAAAAGAGTATGAATGTACTTAATAGAGTGTGATAAAATGTGAAATTTTTTACTCAAATAATATTATTTTTTTAAAAACTTTACTCAAATAGTAACCGTGCAAATTTATTTTCCCAACTAGCACCATTTACTATTCACGTTCAGAACGGACCGTTATGAAACTAGAATGGGTCGTTCCAAATTAAAAAATAACACATGGCTAATGGATCAGAACGCGAAGTTCCAAATTCAAAATTAGTACACAAAAAGTGGAACCAGAATGGACCGTTTTGGCCTACAGATTCAGACCATTTTTCTTTCGATTTTCCCTTATCAAATACCAAAACTCAGAGACTACCATCAAGTGATTAAATTTATTGAATATTAACATTATAAATATAACTAAATAAATTTATTAAAATTCATTACAATAATAAAAATCAATGGTGGCGGAAACTAAATTTATGATCAATATTTGGATATGACTTCCTAGTGTGACCAGGGGTGTGACAATAGGAACAATTTTTTACACGATTATGTTGTTCTCTAATGTACATCTGTTCTAATCTTGCTGGACTTTGGTCAACCCTTGAAAGTTCTCTTGAGTTCTCGATTTGGGCACAAAGTTGGAAGAAACGCAACATCCGAGAGAAGTTTGACCTGCTGGGAGATTTACAGTAAGGCTAAATGAAATGTGGTATGATTGCGGCAAGTTCCAGAAAGTTCATATCCCTTGCTCGCATGACCTGCCAGGAGATTTATAGTAAGGCTAAATGAATGTGGTATGATTACAGCAAGTTCCAAAAAGTTCATATCCCTTGCTTGCATGTGATGGGGTTATATTGTGGTATTTGTCTGAGAGGATATTTTATGAGTTATGAGGGGTTATAGGGTTATTGGTTGTCACCGAATCCAACCTGCGGCTCTGATACCACTGATGGGGTTATTTTATGGTATTTGTCTGAGAGGATATTTTATGAGTTATTTTTTTTATTGGTTGTTACACAAACATACTCCACAATGATGAGATATTGTCCGCTTTGGGCCTTAGCCCTCACGGTTTTGCTTTTGGTCATCACCCAAAAGGCCTCTCAATCATTGAAGTATGTTTATGTTATATAAATTGTTATTTGTTGTATTATTTTATCGATGTGGGACAATATCTCATCATTGTGGAGTATGTTTGTAATAAAATTATAATACAAACACTGATGGGTTATTATATGGTATGTGTTTGAGGGGATATTTTATGGGTGTTATTTTTATAAGGTTATTACACAAACATACTTCACAATGATGAGATATTGTCCGCTTTGGACCTAAGCCCTCACGGTTTTACTTTTGGTCATCACTCAAAAGGCCTCTCAATCATTGAAGTATGTTTGTATTATATAAGTTGTTATTTGTTGTATTATTTTATCGATGTGGGACTTGTTTGAATCCCAACAATCCTCCTCTCAAACAAGGGACCTAACCTTTCATGCAGCGGAATCTGTCTTTATATAGCACATTATATTTTATGAGTTATGAGGGGTTATAGGGTTATTGGTTGTCACCGAATCCAACCTGCGGCTCTGATACCACTGATGGGGTTATTTTATGGTATTTGTCTGAGAGGATATTTTATGAGTTATTTTTATAAGGTTATTACACAAACATACTCCACAATGATGAGATATTGTCCGCTTTGGGCCTTAGCCCTCACGGTTTTGCTTTTGGTCATCACCCAAAAGGCCTCTCAATCATTGAAGTATGTTTGTATTATATAAGTTGTTATTTGTTGTATTATTTTATCGATGTGGGACTTGTTTGAATCCCAACAATCCTCCTCTCAAACAAGGGACCTAACCTTTCATGCAGCGGAATCTGTCTTTATATAGCACATTATATTTTATGAGTTATGAGGGGTTATAGGGTTATTGGTTGTCACCGAATCCAACCTGCGGCTCTGATACCACTGATGGGGTTATTTTATGGTATTTGTCTGAGAGGATATTTTATGAGTTATTTTTATAAGGTTATTACACAAACATACTCCACAATGATGAGATATTGTCCGCTTTGGGCCTTAGCCCTCACGGTTTTGCTTTTGGTCATCACCCAAAAGGCCTCTCAATCATTGAAGTATGTTTGTATTATATAAGTTGTTATTTGTTGTATTATTTTATCGATGTGGGACTTGTTTGAATCCCAACAATCCTCCTCTCAAACAAGGGACCTAACCTTTCATGCAGCGGAATCTGTCTTTATATAGCACATTATATTTTATGAGTTATGAGGGGTTATAGGGTTATTGGTTGTCACCGAATCCAACCTGCGGCTCTGATACCACTGATGGGGTTATTTTATGGTACTTGTCTGAGAGGATATTTTATGAGTGTTATTTTTATAAGGTTATTACACAAACATACTTCACAATGATGAAATATTGTCCGCTTTGGACCTAAGCCCTCACGGTTTTACTTTTGGTCATCACTCAAAAGGTCTCTCAATCATTGAAGTATGTTTGTATTATATAAGTTGTTATTTGTTGTATTATTTTATCGATGTGGGACTTGTTTGAATCCCAACAGCATGACCCACTAGGAGATTTATAGTAAGGCTAAATGCAATGTGGTGTGATTGCGGCAAGTTCCAAAAAGTTCATATCCCTTGCTCGCATGGTCACACTAGGAAGACATATCCAAATATTGGTCATGAATTCAGTTTCCGTCACCATTGATCTTTATTGTTGTATTGAATTTTAATAAATTTATTTAATTATATTTATAATGTTAATATTCAATAAATTTAATTATTTGATGTTAGTTTCTGAGTTTTGGTATTTGATAAGTGAAAATCGAACAAAAAAAATTTATTTATAGGCCAGAACGGCCCGCTCCGGATTCAAAACGGCCCGTTCTGGTTCCACTTTTTATGTGCTAATTTTGAATTTGGAACGGTCCGTTCTGATCCATTCGTCATGTGTTATTTTTTAATCTGGAAAGGCCCGTTCTGGTTTCAGAACGGCCCGTTCTGAACGTGAATAGTAAATAGTGCTAGTTGAAAAAATAAATTTGCACAGTTGCTATTTGGGTAAAAAAAATTTAAAATAGTATTGTTTGAGTAAAAAACTCCAAAATGTGTGTTTGATAGTATTTCTTATTTTATATTGACATATTTTGTATAACATAAATAACAACGACACACTCACTCTTATAGATTATTACTTTCGTATTAATATATAAAATTTAAATACTTAATTCATCAAAATTAAGAAAAATAATTAATATAATTAATAACAATAAATTTGTTCAATTTTTACACTTTTTTCCCAAAACTATCTTTTGTGCTATCTTTTCTCTTAATTAATATACATTTTTCTTTAACCCATTAGAGTATATGATCTATATATTACTTCTCTCATAATTAATAATATTTAATCTCCTAATCAATTAAAATGTGTATCTTTTAAAAAAAATCTATAATTAATGTATTCTACCAAATTAATAGAATATGTTTTAATTAAGGATATTTTAGTCTAAAAATAATGAATACATCAAACACTATAAATTGGATGCTATATAAAAGAATAAATAATTATTTAAA